CTATATTTGGGCAAAAATGGCCGCTCCCAGACTCAAATATGGTGACGAGAATTATTGTTTTAATTTTTTTACTGATTAACACTAAATTCATTAAACCACCCAAATGTATTAGTTCCAGCTATAGATTGATTCCATTGATAATTCCTTACTAACTGGACTTTTCCTTAAATACTCTTAAAAAAGCTGCCTCAGTGCTGTGCAGAGATTTAAAAGCAGACCGAAACACCTTCAGGACTCATGTCCATCTAAAATGATTTGAGTTGAGTGTAAAAAACCTTTTCTAGGATTTTATGACTAAAAGGCATCTTAGAGATGTGCCTAAAGTTGGCCAGCTGACTGTCATCAAGGCCAGGTTTTTATAGAAGGAGCTGGACCACAGCATGATTCTAAATCAAAGGTGTATGTATTGAACACGGCACGATTTTTCTCAGTAAATATATTTCTAGAGGTGCTATTAACGTGACATTTTACCAGATGTCGCTAACAATCCATGCAATCATCACAAACCATGGACGTCCAGAAATTAAGCTATATGTAGAATGGCACAGGGGAAAAGTATTGAACATGTTAAGTAAGGGAGCTGCAAAAAGGCACGGAAAGCTGAAATCTCTCATTAATCCTGCAGCAAGCAATCCTGCTTCTTGTTAGTACAGATGAATATCAGCTGGTTCAGTCCCAATTGATGGCCTATAAAAAGGTGCCTCGGATGGGTAAAAGTAAAGAGCTTTGCAGCCTTAAAGGGGTCATAGAATGCAAAGCCTTACCTTGTCATAGATGAATAACGATAGTTCAGTGGGCAAAATGGACGTACAGACAAGTTCAAACCCCATCAACACCTCCTTTCTCTGCAAATCTCACTATTCTAAACTTCCACCATAAAACGGGTGAATCCAAACGAAGCCTTGAGTTGACGTAAACTCTGGGATGTTGCCTTATTTGGTTCTGGCCTGGACTTTTGTCACGAAATTGACATACAGAGCAGCCCACTGGTTCACTGGCTCAAGAACATGAATAGAGGTCAAAATCTTGGACAGTTCAAAGCAGCATTTGCTAAACTTCTTTTACTGAAACGAAGGGCTGTTCAAACTGTAAGGCCATCACAACCGCCAGCTCTATGTATTATTTTGTCGCTACGCCGTTCATAGCAATGCTAACATATCTATGGTGGCCAGATGTGAGTTTATGAAAAGCAGGCTAGTATGAAGTGTCGACTGGTAGGCCTCTGACTGGACTGGACCTCAGCAGAGAGCCATGAGTCGCCTGCCTCAGTCAGAGGAGGGGGGCTGGGTGCCGGTGTCCAGGCTACCATCACCGGGTTGGGTTCAGTCGCTCCTTCCCCCGCTGGCTCGCTGTCCCCATCCACCGGGGTTCCTGGACCAGCCCTGGAGCTGACGGCTTGGTTCAAATGCCCGGTGTGTTTTGACTCCATGCTGCACTGTAGTTGACCAAAATCCCGGACGATTTTGAAATTCAAGTTTGACATTTTTTTAGGTATGAAAAGTCGGACATCGGAAAAAGAGGACGTCTGGTCACCCTACCATATTAACAATTTGATGTTTCAGTGAGTGAGTGCTTGTTGCTATGATGTGTCTTTTCTCAGCAGCTTTGCTTTGTTATAAATCAACCAATCAGCGCACAGCTCGTCTAAATATTTATGAGCATACCATAAAAGTTACATGTTGTTACACACTCTATTCAGAGACCTAAGTACCAGCACCAAATACCCTATATAATCATTCTATGACCCCTATAATGATGGCATTGGTTCCAGAAGGAATGTTCCAGCAAGCAATGTTGGAGCCATAATCCAGGAGTGGAAAGAACATCATTTCACCATAAACCGACTTCGACCAGATGCTCCTCACAAGATTTCTGACAGAGGAGTGAAATGAATGATCAGAAGAGTTGTCCAAGAGTCAGAGACCACTAGTGGAGAGCTTCAGAAAGACCAGGAATTAGTAGGTTCAATTGTTTCAAGCAAAAGAATCAGTAATACACTTAACCGCCATGGCCTGTATGTAAGAAAAAGCTGTTGAAAGTTTGCTGCACAAGCCTTTGAAATACTGGGAGAATATAGTCTGGTCAGATGAGACCAAAATTCAACTCTTTGGATGCCATAATACTCATCATGTTTGGAGGTCAAAGGGCACTGCTCATCAACCCAAAATCACCATAGTAACAGTGAAGTTTTGGGTTGTTTTTCAGCATATGGTTCTTTCAAACTTCAAATGATTGAAGGAAGAATGAATGGAAATATGTACAGCGACATTCTGGATAAAAATCTGCTGCTATCTACCAGGATGATGAAGATGAAAAGTGGGAGGACATTTCAGCAAGACAATGATCCCAAACATACAAAGCTGCTAGAATGGCCCAGCCAATCAATTGACTGGAATCCAATAGAAAATCTCTGGAAAAAAATAAGATTAGAGTTCATAGAAGAAGCCCACCAAACCTTCAAGATTTGAAGACTGTTTGTGTGGAAGAATGGGCCAAAATGACACCTAAGCAATGCATGCCACTCATTTTTTCCATACAGGAAGCGTCTTGAAGCTGCTATTGCCAACAATGGCTTTTGGACAAAGTAATAAATACATTTCAGTAAACGTGTTCATTACTTTTTCTGTGTGCCATTTAACTTTATTACACATAATGTCATTTCTGGACATCGATGTTTTGATTTCTTTGTATGTGTGGATTGCATGGATTGTTACTGACATTTGGTGAAAATGTCACGTTAATAGCACCTCTAGAAATACTTGAAACCTCTAGTGTTCAATACTTATTTCACCCGCCGTATCTGCTCTGGTATACCATGGCCGTGCTCACATAAAGAAAAACATCATAACTGGGTGATTCTCCAACCATAAAATAATTGTTTCCCTGACAGAAATATGAAAAACAAAGACACAATTGCCATTTTTTTAATGCTGATCTGACTTGACACAGATAAACACTTACAAAACATTTCTGATAGATAAATTATTACTGATATCATATAAAATATCCTTTTAAAATTGAGTGTTTTTGCTATATGTCCTTAGTCCCTTGGCCAGGTTTTGGACACTCAGTCCCTCGTAAGACTGAAATTATATTTGATTCAACAATAACTTTATTGAAAAATGGCACAGAAATTACTTTTTTAATTGAAAAATATGTGCCTGGAAGACATATTATCTTTGTTATTGTACCATATTATTTATAATTCACCAAACATCCAAAAAGGACTCACTGTCAGGATCCATTTAGCGTGTTGTAATGAGATAATTAGGCATTTAAAAAAAACATCCAGCTGAATTAACAAAGATTTGAGTTCAAAATGGTGGAAAAACTGAGTATTGAAAATTGGGCCCTTCTGTATTGACAGTAAAAGTTGTTTCACAAACATCATCATGATAATGGGTTGTTCTCTAATAGATTATCTCAATTGCTTGAAAGATAATTTTCCTCATTATGACAATCAAAACAGTAATTACATGAAATAAACACTTTTGGCAGATGGCAGCAGATTTAACAGTTTATTTTGTACCACAGTCCTAATGCTGCAGAGCACATTACGCTCATTTTCACTATTTTTAAACATTTGGTACCGTAGGGATCTGCTCCAACTGATTACCGGTAATAACCTGCAATACATTCAGAGGCTTGATGTAGCAGCAGTCATTCATGAAGCATGCTTTAGTGCGAGTAGAAAAAAGAAGTTGGCTCGGCTAAAAGCGTTTAAGGAGATGGTGAGAACAGACATGGCAGGCTGTGCTTTGGGAGTTATTGCTCCACTTACTTTACAAACTGAAAATCTCATTAAGTGTGACACTGAAGATTAGTTGAGAGGGACCAAAGTGGAAAGAGAATGAACCCACCAAGGGGCTTTGGGAGGCTTTAGCTTTGTTTGTCGTCATTAATTCAGCATCGGAACAGCTCAGAGGGAAGCTCCCAGCCACTGATCTGAAGAGCTGCGGATATGACAGGCGAACAGGTGCCCTGCTTCCTCTCAAAACACTTCTCCCTTTTAGCTCCAATCTTCGGGTCTTAATTGAGGTAGGCTGTGATTTTGGACCATCTGTGTACTGACAAAAAAAAGCCAGCTTTGATTTATTACACCTCGGGAGGAATTAGGTTCTGAATTTCATTTACAAGACTTCCATTTCTGATCGTAAACTGAGATAAGCAGGGTAATAATAGTAACACTGAAATCTAAGAAGAAAACAGGTTATCAGTAAGTGCTTCTGTTATACAAGTAGAGGAGAGCTTTGGGTGTACTTTTCATTTTAAAATAATGGAATTAGTTAAAAAAACATTAATAAAAAGAAATCATCAGGCATACAGTAGCAACCATTGAAAATGGCCCTCGACTGATCTAGACCCACAGCTAGTTCCTGATTGGCCCTCTTGCGTTGTGGCGTGGAATAACATAGCGCAGACCACGCTTCAATATTGAGCATAAATCTAAAATATCTTTATGAAACTCACTGGAACACATAACCTGCCTATTAGACCACTTCATGTGGACTAAAGATTTCCCCTTATCAGAAATCAATCATGTCTGAATGACTGACTTATCAGATTATGCAATCATTCAACAACAATTACCTTTTATTATTTTATAAAGAGTATATAAACTCGAATTTAGAGAGGTGGGCTGGTGTTAAGCCATCCAAGCATTACGTTTTTTTAGTCGTTCAAGTCATCATATTAATTTCTTCTAATTATGTTAGTGCTTTGGAAAAATATAAACCACTAACTTATAGAAATACAATAACTCAAATTGCAACGTTGGTAGTTGTCATGGATTTCCAGGTAGAGAGGCTTGATTCGTCCCTATTGGGAACAATTCTCCACTGCGTCCGTGTCCTGTTTGCAGCTGACTTTACACCACTGCATGTGTATCTGTGTTCCTACATGCAGTAGGGACATACTTTTTCACAGCCATGAGAAAAATAAAACAGAGGGTGTGGGCCTACTGAGTCTGCTACAGTCAAGGCTGCTGAATAAAGGATCCTAAGGAGGTGGCTCTGTTATTGTAGATCTAGGGTTGCTCCCATTCTTACCTAAAATTAAGGGACGCCCACAGCCTAAGTCCCCCAACTGTCATGGTGTGGTGGTTTTATTTATTATCAGTGAACCACAGACACAGCAGCAGCGCATGGTATGGTGTCAGTCTTTAGGAAAAACCTCAGTTTTCACGTAGCAGAAAACATTGGATCTCTTTTTTAAAATTAGGTGAAATTGTTACCAAGTGTGCACATATTTGAGTTTAAAGAAGTGACTAGTGAAGATACTCAGTCATCCAGGTCATAGTTATTCCAGAAAAAGCCTGGAACTTAATGCTACTCCAGACTTTTTGAATTGAGAAAGCTTTCTGAATGGAAAGCAAAATGTCTTCAACATTGGAAAACAAAGTGCAGTGGTTTGTTTTTAACTTTTTTTGGAATTAAAGAGGTGACATTCAAAATCACCTTCAATTGGAAATGTAGGATCAAATAGAAAACTTGACACAGGAGCAAACGTTCCAGGAGGCTGCATCAGGGGTTCAGGAGTATCCTACGTGACACTCAATTTCCCATGAATCATTGTGGGTCAATGCTGAACAGACGCTTAGACAGAAATGGTTGAAAACTTTATGAGACACAAAAGAAACATTAAAGGTGTTTTTAGTTGAGAATGTTGCTTTGTTAAACTTTAATATCTGCCAGGTTGGTAACAATTTCACAAAATGTTAAGAAAATATATTTTGTTATTCCACGCCACAGTGCAAGAGGGACACTAGCTAGGATTGTGGATGTCCGTGTGTCGGTTTGATGAGCTCGCTCGCCGTCTACAACCCCTCATCCAACGACACACAGTTCACCCGTGAGTGTTCCCTAAAGACTGGCCGCTGTGTGTTTTGGCTACGGGTGCAAACCAACAGACCGTCGCACAGAGCTACAAACTAGCATCCTGCACGGTGCCTGGGATAGTGTCAGGTGTGCCAGGCGTTGTGGACGGCACTACAATCAGAGTTTCTGCCATTAGGTACCAAACAGGAAATACGCATAGAGTAGAGCGGATGTAGTATTCACCAATAGGAGGCCTTGTTTCTCTCCTCCCTGCGACGCTATCTGTAGCACTCTCTGCGGTCACCCACAATTTTGGAGAGGTGCACAAGAGTGTCTGTGGAACGGGGGGACACCTGTGACACAAACATAGACGACCTGGTTTCTAAACATAAACTAGGCTTTAGTCAATAGCAAAAGATACAGTAATAGCTTTTGAACCTAAGAACCAAACAGGCAATTTAGACATAGATACAAAATGTTTAAATGTGGAGTAAATAGTTGTTAGAAATATTTTATTTATACTCCGTTTGTGTTTGATGTGTTGTGTTCTAATGAACTATTATGATGTATAATGTGTGATTCATCTTTTATTAACTCTTGTTCCAGATAAAGG